GGAATGCCTTGTCACTCCTCGAAATCACATTGCAGCCGGGAACCATGGCATTCCCCTGGAGCTTTTCGTACACATACTGCCTACCCTCCCTTCAGGGGAAACCAGGATCCTTCCACCTCCTTTCCCCACTGGTAACAGAAATGTCGCAAAGGTGCCTGTTTGATGTCTGTGGCCTGCTCGTTTTCCAAGAAACCAACTACAAAAACTAGCGCAGGTGGCTTTCGGGGCATCGCCGGTGTTTAAGCATAGCTTTCTTTCAGAAGAAGGAAGTCTGTTCTTAAAATAAGTATTTAAAATCCAAGAGAGATCCCTGGAGCATGATTTAAGGATATTGAGGTCAGGCATTGCTTGGATCTCCAGCGGTGTGCCTGTGTGATGTAGATCTCCAAATAAATTAATTCCCTTCAAAAGCAAAGTGTTTATCTCCTGTTGCATTGATAGTTTCTGTAATTAAACTTCCAGCACACAAACTATGTTAATAAGACAGCATTTATGGTAGGAGCTTTTTCCAGTGACCGTTTTGGAGTGTGTCAAAAAAATACGCCTTGTAGGTGGTTTCTCTGTTAAAAGGAGCACAAAACTCTTTGATACCATTGTGATTCCTTCAGAGATCTGAAGACGACTGTTTGCTCTTGTAAATCTCCATGTTCAGTAAGAACAGCAACACAAGCTTTCAACTTGCCTGAGGATGAATGGTTTGAAAAATTGAAGATGCTGGTGTTTAGTTGTTCTGCAACAACCTGGCAGTGATGGTGGCTGCTACTACCCCTTCCTAGTTGCTGCCATGAATGTGGAATCATGCTGTCATCGGGGTGGAGAGTGTGTTAGGTAGGGATGGGGCTGCTCCCTCAGCACCCGCTTGTACTAGTGATTGTTTATAAGAGCTTTAATCCCATTTCCTTCCTCCCAAAGTGAGCTGGTGTGTCCATGCTCTGACTGCATGCCTGAACAGCAGTGGGACGCGGTCAGGATTTGGAGCGGCTTGCTTTCTTTTTTTCCCCCCAAGTGCCTTGCCAGTTGTGTTTCCAGGACCAAACTGACTATCTGTGCTTTCAAGCCTGCTTGCCAGGACATCAAATCATACATAGTTGTGCCGGTTGCCTTTTACTGTGGCATCTGTGCTTGCACCCAATTACAGCCGTGGGGCTTTTTGTCTCTGCTTTTTCTTGCAGCCAAATGCCTTTGTGCTCTCAAAGTGAAGGAGGAAGGGTCACTCGGAACTGTTTCCTTAGCAAGCAGAGCACTGGCACGCTTGCTAGCAGCCTGACGCAGGTAGGTGCTGAGAGTGCTTGACACCGGTTGCTGTCATCTTTCTTCCAGCCTGAAGAGGTACTTGGCAGATCTCATCAGCCGCCCAAAGAACAAACCTGGGAGCTGCTCACACAGCCACCAGCTGTGCTGCCTGTGCAGGAAGGGAGATGCACCTCAGAAAGCTCCTGCTTTCTGCTGGGTGATTCCAAATTGTTCTTCACTGAGGTGGGCTCACTGCAGCTGGCTTTGGGACTGAGCCCACTCACTTCCCTAACGTGGGACTAGCTTTGACCTTCCAAACAGCATCTTGGCATGGAGGCGAACATGACTTTTCTACAAGGAAGGGGCTGATCTAAGGATACTCCTCCACTTCCCACTAGTGCAGACGTGTTTTAAGGACAATTATTTCTGTGAGCGTTTGGAAGTTGGTTGAATTTTAGTGGTAAGCGGCTTATCCCGCTGCTGTAGCCTGACACGGCTAAATTAGTTTCACACCCCTGTTCCCGGACAGAATTAAGGGTTCTGGTCTTTTCCTCTCATCCGTGGAGTCGTAGGTTAGGCTGTGATCCTGCAAACCATTGTGCATGTACTTAAATTCACACCTCGCTTGATCGCCTTATATGTTAAGCACACGTGTGAGGCTGGTGGAGTGGCAGCTCTGCTTTGCTGGCAGTGCTTTTGAAACAAGAGCACTTACACAAATGAGAGAGGCAGAGTTGGGTATTGTATCCCCTCACCCTTACACAAGGGAGCTACTCACATAAATAAAACACACCTACTGCTTTTCAGGGGGTGGGGGCCAGAAGAAAATATACTGTGATGGATTATCATCTGTCATTGTTCATAAATATAATTACAACAGTTTCATACTGAGCATGATAAAACTGTGGTTTATTCATGGTCCTGCACCAATGAATTGAAATCCCATTAAACCAGGCAGTGTTACAGCTTTGTAAGATATAACCTGATGCTTTAGAGCTTGCCTAAAACTTGTTAAAACTGAAATCTGCTGCTCTGCTTCTTTCCTCACCTAGGCTGCATTGGAGGCTGGCCATCCTGCTTGCAGATCCACGTGTCTTCAGTGCACAGAGGAAAAAGGAAGTTGCTTTATGCCATCATTTTGCTCAGCAGCAAGACTCGTTGGAGCCCAGGCCAGGAGCACAGTTCATCATTAACCATAAAGTTGAAAATAATAATTTTCTTAAATCGAGCTTTATTTCCAACTGCAGCAGCCTCTGTGAGGGTCAGCTTTGCTGCTTCCATGGCCTCTAGCTACTGCTTCTCCTGTGAGGAAATGCAGTGCTGTATTTTGTCTCTATCCTGGGCATCCTTGCAGAGAGAAGAAAAGCCATGTGTGTGCTGGGAGCTCCCCAGCTGCAGCTGCAGCTGGAGTGTGCTGTCAGCATCCTTCGTTGCCAAGCCTCCACAGAGATGTCCCTGTGAGTGGCCCCATGCCCACTCTGCCTGCCTGCCTGCCTTCCCTGGGCTGAGAGAAGGGAAAACCCAAAAGCAGTGCTGTGAAACTCGCCTGCCTTGCTCTGGATGGTGGCCTCCCTCGGGGCTGGGGTGGGCATCCTTCCTGGACCCCCAAAATGCAGTGCTGGGGTGGCCAAGGGACCGCAGGGTGGGCGTAGCAGGGATGGGGTAGAACACGGGGGATGCAGGGTGGAGGCATGGCAGGGACAGAGGATGAAGGGTGAGAATGGGCATTGGAAAATGGGGGAATAGAGGGTAGGGGTTTGGTGATGATGGAGGGTGAGGGCTGCAGGGTAGGGGCACGGCAGGGTCAGGAGATGCAAGCTGGGGATTGCAGGATGGGGACGTGGCAGGGACCGGGAGTGTGAGATGGGGACATAGTAGGGATGGAAATGTGGCAGGGATGGGGAATGTGGGGTGGAGACATAGTAGGGACCAGGGATGCAGGATGAGAGATACAGCATGGAGATAGGGCAGGGACCGGGATGCAGCCGTGCCGTGCCGTG